CGTCTCCATTTCTTCACACCCTTTCCTTCTCTCTCTCTCTCTCTCTCTCTCCGTCGACTCTTCTCTTATCTCGGGGGGTAGTTGAACAGGGCCCGGAAGTGCCAAGGGGCCGTTGTTAGATATTAATTGATTCTTAAGGCCACCAGAGTGATTATCTCCTTACAATCGTTAACTAACATTTAATAGTTTGCATTTTTTTTTCCCCTTACTTCTCTTCTCTGTCTTTTTTTTTTTACTTTTGGTTTTTTTTTGTTTTTTTTTCTTCCTTTTTTTTGTTTTTCATCATCGTCATTCTCTCTTTTTTTTTTTCCTCGCTCGTGATCAATGCAAATCACGGTATCTCGTGGTATCGAGTTTTAATCTCGAGTAAAATTATCTCGTCCCCCATATCTTGCTTTATCATCGTTCCTCTTTCTTTTCTTCCTCTTCTTCTTTTTTTTTTTGTATTTTTTTTCGTTATTTTTTTTTTCTTTTTTTTCTTTTCTTCATTTTTAATTCAACTCCACCGTCTCTCGATTGGTCTTGGTGACGACGGTCAACGTATATAAAACGGTATCCACGGTGAGGCACTTTTGAGGCCCAAGCCTAGCTCTTCCGAGTCCGACGAGTGTCGCAGCTTTCGTTATCACAGGCACTCGTGGCAGGAATCGACCCCAACCTTTTTCAAAATTTGGTATCGATAGGCAACAAGAATATCCATTTCATCGCTATCCACGACTACTAAATATATCACCTAACGATTTCGTTCGATTTAGGCTAAATAAATTAGAATGTAATTACTCTCTTCCTTCTTCTCCTTTGGGCATTTTCTTAGCTACGTCCGTTTCATTCGTCTCCCCTCCTTTCTTCTTCTATCCTCGAATCCATTCTCGTGGATTCTTCGTTCATCCATGCATTTCCATCCACCTCTCGAAACGAGAGGGCATCTTACTACCCTTCCTCTTCTCGATTACGATTCAGCAGGTTCCGGTTAATTTTGCTAGGCTTCTTTTTTTTCTTTTTTTTTTTCTTCCCCCGTTTCCATACCAGAAAGCGCAATCAATCCCGATTCGTACAGGACTCGTCCCTATGTTCCGTTCTCTGGCTCGATCGTCGCTACTTGGTCACGCTTCTTTGCCCCCGATCATCGCCGATCGGCATTATCACGAGTTCTTGGCCGGTTTCCGGCGCTGTTTAACCCGAATCGACGGCTCCGTGCCGCCCACCGCCGAGAACAGGGCCAAACTCACTTCCTCCGGGTGAGACGCCGCCACTTTTCGTATACCCACGTTCTTCGTGCTTTGTACTTCGGACTCCAACACCCATTCGTCCGGCTCGCTGAGAATGGAGATTGAGGTTAATGGACGATGGATCATTAAAAGATAGAAAGATATATAAATAAATGAATAAAAGTGATCCAAGGAAACGATTTACTCACATATCTTGAGGGTACCATCGTAACAATACTTTAGTCTTCCCGTCCATCTCTACTCTTCGGGCTAATACCTGAAGAAGAAGAAGAAGAAAAAGAAGAAAAGATCGAAAAGATTTTATCCTAATGAAAATTCCAATAAAAAACGAAGGAAGGAAATTTTCCTCGCTTCGTCGAGCTTACTTGACTAGTTAGGGCCATCGAATTTCCCGGTGTCTCAGCGAGACGGCCTTGCGTCCTCGACTTTGCCAATTGAAGCAACCTGTGCTGAAGACCCTCCATCACTCCCGAATCGAAGTAATCGAACAATCTCGCTGCAAGGTGAAGAACAATGAACTGGAAAATTCGAAAAGCGAGAATCTCCAACAAGGAAGGAAGTATCCTACCTGACCATGGCTGCCGCCTATATCGAAGTCGTTTACCGTTCCTTCTTACTAATTTCCCTCCGCTCTCGCAGCTCCGTCTGGCGTTATTGTTGCTCGTTTCCGGTTGATTAAAGTGTCCGTTCACGTGCCTCTCGAGAGCCGTCTGCAAAGCATTATCGTACGAATTAACGGCCGGAATTGGGCACCTTCCAGGGAGAGCACGGATTCGTAAAAAAAAAGAAATAAATAAATAAACAAGACTCGAACTTCGAGGCCACGGTATATATACACTGTAACTGGCACAGATAGATAAATAGACAGATAAGCGGATGGATGGACACTCGCGGAAAAAAGAAAAAAAAACGTCGATGAGATACTTCGCCTCGTAGTTGAAGTTTATTTTCAATATGGCTTCCGATCCCATTAGCCCTCTGGTGGCGAGTTACGGATGAATCTAATCGGGTCGGTTTAACCGCGAAGAAAACTCGCGATCGAACTCCTTTCTTCCTTCTTTTCCGGACGAGGACAAGTCAAAAAAGGTTCTCTCGGTTGCGGGTGGACAGTTTTTTTTTTTTATTATTATTATCTCGGCCGTCCCTGGAAAATGCCCGCCATTTTCCCGGGGAAACGGATCGAGCGAGGCAACAAACTACTCTCGGTTTTTTCGCTTCGCTTCGACCGCATACTTACGCGCGCCCTCGCGGTTAACGGTCGGAAGATGACGGTAAAGAAGAGAGTTACAATTTTTTTTTCTTCTGCTTGCCAAAGCGGGATGGAATGGGAAGGTTAACCTTCTTAACCCTTCAACTGCGAGTGTGATTTATAAATCGTGTAATTGAAATTATAGCCGGAGAAGGTGGTGTATAAACAACGTGTTACGTTTTGCTAATATCGAATAGCTGTGGCTATATATATATATATATATATATATACTAAATACTAGTATATATATATATATATATATATACTAAAATAAACATAAGATAAATAGAAATATGGATAAGTTGCTCGAGAAAGAGGCACGTTGAACAAAATGTGAACAAAATATTGATGTTGATGGAAGATTTAAGATTTACAAATTTTGAGATTTTAGATTTCTATGATTACATTATCTGGTATCACGATTTCATTTTACTGAAATATTTTTTTTTTTTTGCCGTGCTAAAGTAGTCGCAGTTAAAGGATTAACTCGAATCGATTTGTCTCTCTACGTCTTACGTTCTAAGAGAAACCAGGGAGGCACAGCTCGAACAATTTCGAACGAGAAATTTCGTATTCGAGATCGCCCGGGACGAAGGTCCCTCGTTTGCAACGATACATTACCTAACATCCAGTTTCGGCATCGATAGCAAAAAAAAAAAAAAAAAAAAGAAAGAAGAAAAAGAAGAAAGAACAATTCGTCTCTGCATCTGGGATACTTCAATTAGCGTTGAGGCTCGTTGAAGTACTAGTTGATGCTCGTGCTCGACATAAACATAGTAGAAAAACATGTTTCATTAGTTTGCTTCACACATTGCTCTCCTCGTACGAAATTCGATATACACGGATATACACGGAAAGAGGAGCTGGAAAATCTCTCACCGATCTTCAAAGAAATCGAACGAACGAGAAATCGGACGCGATTGAATGAGACTCGACTTTCGATATCGAAGAAAGAGAGAGAGAGAGAGCCGTTACCTGAGAGCTGAATCTGCTGCCGCAGCCGTCGACTATGCACCGGAAGGGCTTGTTCCCTCCGTGAGACAACACGTGCCGTTCCAACCACCTCCTCGAACAAGAACTCCTCCCCTGCACCTTGCAACCCTGCCACTGGCACACGAAGTTGTCGCTCCCCGTTTGGGTGTTGATGTGAGCTACCTGAAAATTCGTTTTCAATGCACGATCAATCGCCTACACCGGATATTGTCCCATCTCGCCTTCTGTCCCTTCCTTAGAAACGAGAGCTCGAAAAATCGAGCTGGACTCGCATTCTAATTTACCTGCAAATGTTCGAGAAGTTCGCCGCTCGACTCGAAGCTCTCCTCGCACTTGTCCCACCGGCACACGCCGCTGTCGGTCGCCTGTTGCCTGTCCTTCTCCGGCTCCCGGGCCGGGAATCGTATGGTGGTCGGGGCCGAGAGTATCGGCGAAAGGGGTGGTTTCGAGCCGCCGCTCCCCGAGTCCTCCTCCTCCTCCTCGACGTCGTCCTCGTCCTTGCCCTCCTTCCCCCCCTCCTCGGCCACGGACAGCCTCTGGAACGGGTGGTGGTGGTCGGGCTGGGGCCTGAGCGAGCCGAGGATGCCGCTCGTCACGTTGTTGTTCTCGTTCACGTGCGACGCGAGGATGCAACCCTTGAGGGCCGCGGCCTCGTTGCTGAGCGCGGGGCTGGGCGGCGAGGGCGGGGACGGTCCGCGCTCGCCTCGGATGACGCCAGCCTGGATCACGACGTGATTTAGAATCGTTCCTGACTGATTCGAAAAATCGAAGGATGTGTACACATACCTGAGGGAGGAGATCTTGCAGGGGGGAATGTTCTTGAGGACCTCGACGTTGGAGATGGGGATAGGTTTGGCGAGCTTCTTCTCCATCTTGCCGTTGCTCCTCGGCACGAGGACCAGCGGCGGCTTCTTGGTGGGCGGCGGGGACATGGCGAGGTTTCTCGCCTCCCAGTCGTTGGCCGGGGCCGCCCGCTCGGCGACACGGCCCCCAGGTACTTGGCCAGGCCCGCCTTGCTCCTCTGCACGGTGGCCGGCCTCCGAAATTCCGACGAGCTCTTCGCTACCAGCACGGACATCGCCTCGCTGCTCTTCTTGATCTTCTCGAAAGAAGGGGGGAAGCATTCGTTTCAGTTGGTCGATCGAGGAAAGAAAAGAAATAATAATAATAGGAGTGGAGCAACTCACCTTGGGTTGCTGGGGTTTGATCTGGGTTTTGAAGTACTCGGTGATCTTGCCCTGGGACTCGTGATGATGGTGGTGGTGGTGGCTGGGCTTGCCGCCGGACTTGCCGCCTCCCCTCGAGCCGGGGTCCGCGGCCCCGGACCTCGGCAGGGCGCCTGCCTCGGGCTCTCCCTTCAGCCTCTTGTAGGTGGAGCAGGCGGTGGCCGCGAGGGGCGGGGTCCAGGGCCACTGGGGCCTGGTGCCGATCTGCGAGGAGGGCGCCAGCTTGGGCAGGGAGGGCAGTGGGCTAGCTGACGCGCCCCGTATCGCCGCTACCCCTTCGTCGCTGCTCGTGCTGCACGGGGAACCGGGCTCCGTGATGTCGCTGGTACCGCTGCTGCTGCATTCCCCGCAGGACACGGCGACGCCACTGCGGGAGGGAAAGATCATCGTGGTTAAACACTTTTTTCGTGACTTGATTCTTCGGCTTATCATCTCACGAAGCAATGATATCGTGCAAAATGATGTATATGTATACTTGGCGACACTGTGAGCTTAGATTTTTTTTTTTTTTCATTTATTTCTAATTAAAGTTATTTCTAATTTCGTTGAGAAATTAGCGCGAAAAATAATCAGGAAAATGATATATATATATATATATTTGTCGACACTTTGAGGTTAGGTTTTTTTCGACGTTGGTTCGATAATAGTATGATAGAAATATTATTTTCAAAGTTTTTATTGAATAACAAAGTTATTTCTAATTTCTAATTGTGAAATTGATGGAGAATAGCGATGAAAAATAATGAGGAAAATGATATATATATATTTGTCGACACTTTGAGGTTAGGTTTTTTTCGACGTTGGTTCGATAATAGTATGATAGAAATATTATTTTCAAAGTTTTTATTGAATAACAAAGTTATTTCTAATTTCTAATTGAGAAATTGACGGTGGAGAATAGCGATGAAAAATAATGAGGAAAATGATATATATATATTTGTCGAAACTTTGAGGTTAGGTTTTTTCGGCGTTGGTTCGATAATAGTATGAAATATTATTTTCAAAGTTTCTGAGTTTTGTATAAATGGAATAATTGGTTCGAATTTCTAATTTCTAATTGAAAAATATTATAATTGACGGTGGAGAATAGCGATGAAAAATAAGAATATAGTAAATGTGAGAGCACGTTATAGATTTTTAATGCCCGAGAAAGATCGTCAACGGCCGCGGTTACAATGCCACGTTTCCAGAAAACGATACTCGATAACTCGACACACACGCGCGGCATCTTATAGTAGCGAAAGGGTCAAAGTATAAAAGTTTCACGCGTTAATTTGTGCGCGAAAGCATTTTAAGCCTGCTTAGATATTCACCGAACGGGATCGAAAACGGGGTGCAAAGAGTGTATTCTTTTTTTCAAAATAGGGAGTGGGAGTGTACTTTAGCCCTTTGGTCGCGTGTGCGTTTCTGCGGTTTAGGGGTGGGGAGGGAGGGAAATTGCACGTTTACCGGGTAACGGTATTAGCAGCAAACCTAATTACAGGGTCAGACACTGGCAATTGGGGCGGCGAGAGGCGTTCCGCTCGTTCGTCCTCGCAGCGAGGAATTGTCTCGAGACGTTATCGTTCTCATCTACTATTCGAGTGAAGAAGAGGGGAAGCGAAGGGGGAAAGGTGAAACGATATATTTATTTGTGTATTCGCTTCGATCGAACACTGTGTTCGTTCGACAATCGTAGAAATATCATTTTCAAGGTTTTCCAGTTTTGTGGAATAACGAAATTATTTCGGAGGTTTGTTAATGCATTAAAAGAAAAAATATATATTGCAAACGTGATTATAATCTTATTACTGTTATATCGACACCCTTGATTTGGATAATTTATTTATTTCCATGCGAATCGAAACGAACAGCGTGTAATTATTGTGGAGAAAAGAAAATGAAAAATAAGGATATATATTCGTTAAGGAATTGACGATAGGGGGAAGGAAAATAGTGATAAAAATAACAATAACAAACAATGAAGGAGCAATTACGTTATTATTAAAATATCACGGAAAAACAACGATATAGACTTTAACATATTCGACAAATTTTCTTTCTCTATCACGTAAAGATATGCGTGAAATATTAAATTATAAAAGTTTCGCGCGTTAATTTCAATGTGTAATCATTTTAAATTAGCTAAAGAAATTCACCGAACGAAAATAGCGCGAAGTTGGTGTTGGTGAGAGTGAGAGAGTGAGAGTGAGAGAGAGAGAGAGAAGAAA